CTCAGGGGTCCAAGATTATCTTCTGTGTCTGTGTTAATTGGTTTCCCTTTTCTTTGTTGAAGAGGGTCTTTGCAATCCTTCTGCCTAGTCTGCCATCTTGCCGGAAGCCCACAACAGATTTTTATAGGTAAAATTTTTACTATTTTTTTCACCACATACCCACACAAAGATAATACAAATATAAGAATGAATAAAAATTTTTCCCAATCATAAATGTGATTAGCAGCAAAAATGACTTGCCAATTCAAAGTCATGTAAGATATCACACAATGACACTAATGAGCTTTTTCTTAAACCATATTTTACATTTTCGATAAAATTTTAATTTTCCTCCAGTGAAATAACTTTTAAATCAGGTCTAAAATCTCTCTAGGCATATAGGAGTGTTTAATTACCATTGATTTAAACAGTTTATTGTCAAAATGCCAAATTGCTCAGTGTGGTGTACTATATAGGATCAATGAAGATCATAACTTCAGACTTCTGCCTTCTCAAGGTTATGCTTTAAATCTTTTTGGTCAGTCATACTATTTTAAAATACAACTTTAAAAAAGAAAAATACATCAACATTTTTAAGGGTGTTTTCAAATATACATACCTGGGAAGGTACATTTTTTGGAGGCTCTATTCGAATGCTTGGGTCCCATTCTCCAGGAGGGAGAACAGTAACCTGATCTAGAAATTCATCTATTCCTGACACCAAGTCATTCCGATCTTTAGCTTTGTAAGCTACATCATGAAATACCTACAGAAGGAAAAGAAATAACATCTATACATAAAATGCAATTAAAAAATCATAAGGTGTCCAGCGTTTTTCTTTACTCATGTATCTCACATAATATTATACACACGACAGGCCTATAAAATGAAAAATAACACTCGTGAGGAATTCACTCCTCAGAATAATCAACCAGATCAGACCAAAGGGCAAATTTTCCCAAAAACAAAACTCAGGAGGCAGGAAGGAGCAGGAAAGAAGAACAAATGGGAACTGGGAGATAAGAGAGGAAGTGGGAAGAGTGCTGTTACACTGAGGGAACTGCCAGTAATGATATGAAACAAAATATATATAAATTGGTGAATGGAAGATTAATTTGGTCTATAAACTGTCACACAAAACACAATTAAAATAAATTAAAGATTATGATAACAATTTGAGTTCTGGTTCTAAAAAAATTTGTGATGTAAAATGCTAAAATTTTAGGTTATTCCATGAATCCACACAGACATGTATTTTTCTTTTTTTTTTTTTTT